TGAAATTTAATGCAAATAAACTTTGTAAAGAATAACAAAGCACAATTGTGATAACATGAATTGAACAGAGTGATGAACTTAATTTAAAAATATCACAATATTTTTTATACTTTATCAGCAACACATATGAACATGAACATGTATATATGTATATACTAGATATATATATAGATTTTTATTCTTCAGGAGAATGCATAGAATGTTTGCGCATCGACAGCTTTAAAATAAATTTCAAATTGTTTAAATTAAATCAGGAAACTCCCAATAAATTCAGCATATTTTTGAAATTAATTGCCTGGAAAAATTCTTTTTTCGGTAAATAACGCTAAATTGACTTCTTGTTCATAACAAAAATTAAAGGTGTGTTAACCAAAATACATATGAATTCCCACTATGGCCACCCATAATAGAAAAAAAGCAATTTGGAAAATATTTGGTGTCTCATATACTATTAACATCTATTACTTATGTTGAAGTGTGTTTAAACCACTACCCTGCAGAATCTTTTGTACCATATGGTCCATTGGCGTAATCCGATAGGTACTCCTTTGTAGTGAACTATTGGATCAACTTGCGTCTCACTACGGCTCACCGTAGTGAGCCAATGATTGCTCGTCTTTTAACGATCGCAATTACTAAACGAAGATGCACGTACCCAAACGGAAAGTGAACTGAAATAAAGTCAGTTTTCCTAAAAGACGTACATAAGTTTGAGTATATACATGTGTACTACATTCCATTGCAAATAGAACAAATGCGAAAGCTTAAATATGTTCTATATCTATTGCTAAATATTACGTCAGTATGTATGTATGTATTCTAAGCTAAAAATTAAATAATGTAACCCACTATACAGTATGTATTTTAGGCGTACATACAGTAGTCGCGTTATTTGCAAGTATGTCACATAGTTTGAGAGCCAATGTATAGAAAACTGCGCGTTGTTATTAATTTACAGTCTTCGAACATAAAATATATAGAAAAAAGATAAAATTGGAATGTTCAGAGCTATTCAAAAATCATAAAGTATTTTTAATTAATGTAAGAATCAGATTATTCAACGAATTCGGTTTTCTGTATTTCTATTTGTTGGAAGCTTTAGTTCGGTGAACCCGCTATAACTATTATTTTGACAATGTCTTAAAGGCTACTTGTTGCTCTTTGACAAACACTCTTATTTATTTCCTCATTTAGTACTCTTAAACTTGCAGAGTTTTGTCAATAATACCATTTCAAAGCACCATAAACAGTTTAATATATTAATTGCCCTTTTTAAGTTTTCTTATCTCATTTCAATGGGTGCATGTCTCATAAATCTTTCAATTGTAAACAAATTGCATTTTATAATGCGTTTCAACTTCAAAATAACCGACGTACGAGCATTTCCTTTTACGGCATCTAATGCTTTCCGTAAGTGCACACGAAGCTCCAACGAATTCATTAAAAAAATCTTTCAATTGGTAATTCTACACACTGAGGTACTGATCAACTGCAGCAGACAAAACATTTAGTCTTACACATACATCTACTTAAGTGCGTAAATATTTACATATGTATATATGTACATATAACACACACTAATATCTACTATATAGTCAAATGTGCTGGTTGAATACTACTTAGAAACTAGTCTGATTAGGCAGTAGACAATTGTTTTATTTCCATGCAAATCATATCCACACAAGGTCCGGTCCGATACTAGTGCAAAATGGAATTTCACAAAATCGAAAATAGGAGTCTCAGTCATAAAACTGCCTCTCCTCGAAGTCATGAGTTCCGTTGAGTTGCAGCGGTTGCTATTCAGAGCAACGAGCGCAATTAGGCCTGAAGGCCCGTTGTGATACCGCGTTTCTCACCTGCTCAGATAAAGTGAGATTCATTATATAATGATGTATCACATTCTATTATAGACGCCATTTTTTCTGACCGCTTTGAAAATTTGTGGCATAAATCTGATAAAGTCTACTTATAAATATATATACATGTATACATATGTATGTACGCAAGAATTCATACTGCCTCTAGCTGCGAATGGGGTAAATGCATTCAACAAATTTCAACACTTGCTGCATCATAGTGTTCGGCTACTCTTAATTGATTTCGGAAATTAGCTGGGAAGTATTGCTCAGCTCCGTAGCCAGAAGCAAGTTTAAGGAAAGTAATTTACCATGATTTTTATTTTTATTTATAAAGATACTGAAACTCACGCTAAGCTAATTGTCTGCATCCGTTCTTTGTGTATTTCGGTAATTAAAAATAATTACAATTGAAAGAATTGTATTCTCTAAGTTCAGATTTTTAGTGCATCTTCGTAAATGATGCCGAAAAAATGTTCAATAGCAAAATAATGCGTGATAAGCACTATTATACATATATACTCATATTTATAAGCAATCGATCAACTGTTAAATAAAATAGCTTATTATGGAGAGATCGACGAACTTATTTGTTGCAACTCTTCCCAATTAGCGGACAATAGCAAGCAGGTTTCTATACAAATTTCGAAAGCTTTTCCAGCAGGCACATTGGAATTCATCCATTTATATTAGGCAATTGCCTCGAAATATTCTTTAAACATTTTATATTCGAACTAACAGTTTTTAAGTCACGCCTTAGGAAAATTACTTGAAAATCAACAAAGAAAATTAAAATTAAATTTAATCAAAAGCTTTCCGATGCACATACATGCATATATACATACATATGTATGTCCGCACAATTGTAGTCTACGCATGAATATATATATATAAATATATATATTTATGTGAGTTCATACATAAATGACTCATGCATACGAACAACGAAATATTCTTCAAAATTTATAAATATCTTGTAACCAAAATTTTCAATTTTCTTCTCTACCCAACTTACTTCCCTTCAGCGTTTGTCGCATTTATTCATTGCACTCCCTGGCTGCACGACTTCAGTTGACTTACAAATGCATTTTCTTGTGATATTTTTGAAATTATGTATTCACATATCACTTGTCAAGCGAGCGTAAAATGTTCCCCAGGAGCGGAATGCTTATTTTAGCTTCTTCTACAAAATACTCCTCGTCGTATGGCAGGCGAACTCAGCAGCGGCCTAAAGCAGGCGACAAAAATTCATTTCACATTTTGCTGCTATTAATATATAACACACACAAATACACATATGTACATATAAGTTGGCGCGTTCCTTATTTCCATTGTATTGTGTTAAGGCGTCCGAGTGGCAGTTTGTGGTGGATATACTCGTACTCCACTCGATGCCAACCGGAAAGCATTTTTAGGTGACACCGCACGCACAGAGGTAAAGTCATTGCGTGCATACATACATACAATACATGAATGCTGGCGTATACATGTTTAAATTTAGCTCTAAATCAGGGCGATCCGAAGTGAAGTCCGTACATACATGTACGTACCTCTAGTATGTGGCATTTGCAGTTATAAATATGGTCATAAAAATGTATGTAAAGATGTAAGCTCATATGTGCATTCATCGAACATAAATCATTCCGTGATTTATTTTGGGGAAATTGATGATTTTATTAAGTAGATCTTTCATTTGGTGGAATTTTCATACGTGTATGTATATATATAAATAAATATATAAATGTGTCTATGTATTTTTCTCTTTGAAAAAAGCGACCTAAATGTTAGACATAAAATTATTATGCGTTTATTTGATAATTACTAAAAGTGTCTTTTGATTCTTAATTTTTTGTCTTTAGACTTTAATTCTATAGATAATTACGAATAACTCTACATTTAAATTACATACATAATTGATATAACTTAAAGTAGCTAAAACACATATGTAGGTAAATATGTATGAGAATTTGATATTAGAATTGAAAAAGAATAAAAATAAAGAAAACTTTGTCAAATCAAGCAAACCAATACGAGGCGTCATTCAGTCTTAAATTTTTTCGTACTAATTTGTTGAATAGAGATTGTGCATGTCCAAATATGGTCGCAGCCTGAAATGCACTACTCTACTTCACTGCACGCAGAGTTGACTGATACACACCGTGTCTGATGAGATAACAAATACATATGTGTGTATGTTTGTGCACGAGCACAGATTTAATTATTTTAAACGCATGCGCACGCACTTCAAACATTATCGGAGCTCAAAAGTAAAGGCCAACACATTTAGTAAAAATATAGCAAACAAATTTCGGGTGGAACCGAAGATAAGAGGCGCGATTTATTAAGTTCACAGATCAGTCGAAAATATATGGTCGGTGTAAGGAAAGGTAGGTCCATTTCAGTCATTTTTGGCAGAACTTTAGACCCCATTAAAAGTAGCACACCTACCAAGTTTTGATTGAGTTTTGTAATTGAGGACTTAAATATTACATCTTAAGACAAACGGGAGACGGAGGAGATATACTTTTTAATGATGCCACACCCACTTGAATTTTTTTCAATCCTCATTTTCCACTTATTGGAATCCTATCTGAAGCATATGACTTTTACTGCACATTTAGTTATTCAATTATCGCGATTTTCATGCTGTTCGAAATTACCGCTACATGAGAGGTGAGCGTTCTCACATTGAGACCCCATGAGTGTGTGATACAAGTTTCATCAAAAAAATTTTACAATTCTTACTTGAGTTATCGTGAACACGGACGAGCATGGCCAAATCTTGTCATCTCGTCATTCATGAATCTAAATCGATTATTTAATGTCGTTAGCTGCGTACATAGGATAGCCGAGTAAAAACATACTTACATATGTGCATTACAATGAATTGAAAAAAATTCCTGTTTAATATTTTTTTTTCAACATTAAAGTATATAACTGCCGCTTTGAAACCTCTGAAGCGATTTTTGACAGATTCCTCGATGTCAGCTTTTAAAAATTAAAGTCAACCCAATTATACCCATAGACGTCGCTGACAATAAGAAAAAATTTAGTTACAAGCAGGATATATATCAACATATGTACATTAAAACTTTAATTTGAGAATCACGACTTTTATAAAAAAAATCCTCTCTTGTTTTACAGTTTTGGGAAATCATCTCAGAAGAGCATGGAATCGACAGCAATGGTATTTACAACGGAGACAGCGATCTGCAATTGGAGCGCGTCAGCGTCTATTACAATGAAGCTTCAGGTAAGGGAAACATTAATACAAGAATTTAATTCATTCAATCTCCAAAAATTTATTTTGTGCTAAAACTGACATTTAAATGCACTTCACCGAAAAAATATTTTTTTATTTTTTATTGAAGTTTCTAATTCTTCTCGAGTATATTCAAAGCGCCAATAACATCGGTTTGAAGAATCGGTTATTTTATTATGATTACTTAGGACAGAGCGAATCATAAGCTTTGGATTCTTTTTCTTTTTTTTCGAGTTCTTTGTCTTGAAACAACATTTTTTCTGCAATGACGTTCCACCGTTAGGTTCAAACCAGTTCGTTTTCTACGTAAAACTATATATATCCATTAACCAGTGGTCTGTGACAATTTCTCAGAGAAACCCGTTATTGTGACTTTATGTATATTAATAATTTTCAGAAATCTGTCTTATGGGTGTTTTTTTGAATTCATACTTGGATCAATTTTGCTTCGTTATCTTATAGTGGACATACATTTCCATTTGCTTTCAGCTCTTTGTTCAAACTACAAGTAAAGCGTTTCTAGCGTTTGAATATCGTTTTTGGTACCAATAACATTATAACAACTGCTGCAACTTTTCAAATGAAGCAAATGTGAACTAATGGCGCCTGTTAATCCTGCATAGGCTGCTCTTTATATTCCAGTATTATTCAAAAAATACGTATTCAGCTGACTATAAAAATCAACAGTTCTAGGCCGAACCTTAAAAGGGAGATTAGAGGGATCCTTAACGTATATCTGAAGAATCATCGCAGTCTTCAAAGATTGTGTTCCTAATAGGGCAGCATTTCAGGTTCTAACCGGATCATATTCAACATGCCTTATTCCTTCTCTTTTAAGTGCAGAGCATTTTCATTATCGTATTTGCATTGAATATTATATATATGCAATCGATTTTGTTTATGTCTACCTGCTTCGAGCGAGTTTATTGACTTGAGTGCTCAGAAGACTCGTCTAGAAGCACTATTAGCCAATAATGCATTGACTCAGTGTGTATAAATATGATTGAGTATGTAAATTCTGACTAAGAAAGTATCGCCGCCTATTTCCATATTTAGGCAACGCTGTGTATGTTTTCTACCATTTTGGCTGCAGTGGCACGCATGCGCATTGAGGTTATGTACGTGCAACGAATTGCAAGTAATTAAATTATGATTTATGGCAATGAAACGACGAATAAAGTTCACATTAACACGTCACCGATGCAAATGAAGCAAGGTGGTGAAGGTAATGTTGTATGAAAATGGGTTGATAGTTTTCCATTAAAGTTGGCATACATTTTTGCATAGATCCATAAATATCGTAGACCACTCATTTTGAACACATTTTAGTGCAGTAAATATATAAACAACTTTCTATTGGAAATTTATAAATACATATATTTACTTTTCTTTAATAATTCTTTCGCTTTTGTTGTGACTTTCCAGCTGTAACGCGTTCTTCTGGCGGTAAGTATGTGCCTCGTGCCATTCTACTCGATCTCGAACCTGGTACTATGGAATCGGTGCGCTCCGGTCCTTACGGACAACTGTTCCGTCCCGACAACTTCGTGTTCGGCCAGTCTGGCGCAGGTAATAACTGGGCTAAGGGTCATTACACTGAAGGTGCCGAGCTGGTAGACAATGTTTTGGACGTAGTGCGTAAGGAGTGCGAGAACTGTGACTGCTTACAGGTAAATTACTCGCGTATAAAACCAATTATTTACTTGCTGCTAATTGTTGCAATTTAATTCTTTAACTCAGGGCTTCCAACTGACGCACTCTCTGGGTGGTGGCACTGGCTCCGGTATGGGCACCTTACTCATCTCAAAGATACGTGAAGAGTATCCAGATCGTATAATGAACACCTACTCTGTGGTGCCTTCGCCAAAGGTCTCCGACACTGTCGTCGAACCGTATAATGCCACGCTCTCCATACATCAGTTGGTGGAGAATACCGACGAGACTTACTGTATTGACAACGAAGCACTCTACGACATTTGCTTCCGCACACTGAAGGTATCCAATCCAAGTTACGGTGATCTAAACCATCTTGTATCGCTTACCATGTCCGGTGTGACAACTTGTTTGCGTTTCCCGGGCCAACTGAATGCCGATCTACGTAAGTTGGCCGTTAACATGGTGCCCTTCCCACGACTACACTTCTTCATGCCTGGTTTTGCCCCACTCACATCGCGTGGCTCGCAGCAGTATCGTGCCCTAACAGTACCCGAATTGACGCAACAGATGTTTGATGCCAAGAATATGATGGCCGCTTGTGATCCACGACATGGACGTTATTTGACTGTTGCTGCCGTCTTCCGTGGTCGCATGTCGATGAAGGAGGTGGACGAACAAATGTTAGCTGTACAAAACAAGAATAGCTCCTACTTTGTAGAATGGATACCAAATAATGTGAAGACAGCTGTGTGTGACATCCCACCTAAGGGACTGAAGATGTCGTCAACCTTCATTGGTAACACCACTGCCATACAAGAGCTCTTCAAGCGCATTTCCGAGCAATTTTCGGCGATGTTCAGACGCAAAGCTTTCTTGCATTGGTACACTGGCGAGGGCATGGATGAAATGGAGTTCACCGAGGCGGAAAGCAATATGAATGACTTGGTATCCGAATATCAGCAGTACCAAGAGGCTACCGCAGATGACGAATTCGACCAGGACGTGAATCAGGAGGAGGTTGAGGGCGATTGTATTTAATACAGAGACCAGAGGAATGGGCAGCGTGCGTAGCACGGCGGGAAGGAGAAGCGGTAGAAATTTAACAATTCGTGAACGTTTATGGCTCTCGACAATGCCCTTTGTCTGGAGGCAGAGGTACGACAGATGTGGCATACTCTAAAACATCCATCAGCCGCACACTGGGTACTGAAGATAAGTTTTGTTAAACAGAAAGTCTTTTCCGCCGCCTACACATTCAGAACTGGAAATGTTATATTAAAAAAAAATATTTAAAAAAATCAAATTTAACGTAGAATATGGCTCGTAAAACAAATGAAAAAAAAAAAACAGAATAACAAAAGGAAATGTTCCATTCTCAGCTTAGTTTATTATATTTTATAACGCGTATGTAGTTAAAAATATTGGCACACACATACTCAGGCATGCACATGAACATACATACGTACATATTGACAGTCATTAGTAACTCATCTTCGTAAATATGTATTTGTTTAACAAATCCAAGGCACGTCTATCGCATTTCTCTGCTGGTGTTTTTGAAACATTTTATTAAAAGTTCTAAGAAAACTCTTTCATTCACTATTCACTCATAATCTATCTAATTATCCATAAATTACACTATTAATTTTTTGTAATAGTTTATTGTTAAATGCATATCATTACAATGTTCATAATTACACTTCAGAAATATTATGGCCAAATCCTTTCGACTATTTCATGACACAATCATTACATTTAACCTCACTTTTGGTAGTTTTAATATTAAATATTTTCCTGAACAAAGTCACATCAAACACTCATTTAGTGTTAGAACTTTAAGTATTAACTAAAATTGATTACAAGCAATATTTTAGATTTATGCGAATTAATATTTCTCTGAATTAAATGAAACCATCTAATGTGGTAAGGGATATGGATTCATAAGTAACCGGTTTCATTAAATTAATTTTTGTGGTCATCTTCAATTTAGTTAAGGCCATGAACATAGAACTTCACCAACGAAACTCTAAATCGAAAAAACTGAAATTAAGCCAAAAAATATTTCAAATACATAATAGGCGGAAAGCTTTCTGCTTTCGTTTATGGAAACTGGCCTTCACAAGTCATACTTACTTGAATTCAATTCTTTATTATTTAAAAAAAAAATATATATAAATATAAATAAGTAAATGTTGCAATATAAGTTTATCTAAAACATTTTTCCTATTAAATTTTCTAACTTAATGAAGAATCAACCAAAAAAGTAAGTTTCAGACAAAGAAAAAGTGTTTCGAAAATCAGTTCTCAAAATATATAATTACTTAATACGGTATTTTATAATTAATATTTAAAACATTTTTATGATTTACCTCAAAATTATAAGTTTATTATTTAAATAAAAGTTAACAGAAATTCATTGCATTGTGTTTACTATTCACAGCTAATAATAAGGACGATAGACGAGTTTTTAGTCCAAATTTCAAGAATAATTCTGTTCGAAGCGGAAATTCGCCAACTTTAAATTATTTTCATAGTTCGTGAAATCAAGTTTTGCTGGTTGTTCTTCGACCGATCTTTCTTCTTTTGTTATCGTTTATCTCTCTTCCAGTCGAATTTGCGCTATTAGAAGTCTTTTTCAAAAGGCATTTTTTGTTATCTGTTCAGCATCATAATGCCGTTTAATTTTCAAGAGGATCCCAAAGCCATCCGACATGAAGATAACTCCCTTTTCTGCCATCGAATACAGATTTAAAATCGACGAATAGGTGATGTGTATCGATAATTTTCTGGTCTATGGTGGGTATACTACACTGATAAAATCTTTGACGGTTGGAACTTCCAGTAAGCCAGCAAATGTAATCTCTCCATCCTCCAAATAAAGCCTCCTATCTTGTAAGTTGCATCATTTTCTTTTTAAGAAAATCTTTTTTTTTTTTATTCGAGACGATTTCAAACGACAGACATATGTATGTATACGTATATGTTGCTACAGAATACTTAGTGTAGTTCAATACTAGGTATACCAAATGAATTTATTTCCAAAATGCGGAACATACCCATTGGTCTTCCCGACTAATCATCGCAATATGCCGTCAGTAGCATATTACAGTATTGAGTACCAAAAATAGAATAGAATTTAGTATTCGCTGAAACTAGTACTGATTTATTTTCTGAGCACCTCAAAAGTTTTTAAATTAAATGAACGAACAACCAATTGAAAGTCAGCATCCATTTCGTTTTACGACATCCAGAAGTGAACTGGTAAAATCTAAAACTACAGTTGCGTCGCTTTCAGATTGCCCGATAAAAAACTCCAACTTGACATGACAAACTATAAAAATCATTATGATATGTAGAAGCTCCTGCTAAAATAGAGCTTTAAAAAGCTAGGAAATATCTTAAGTCACAAGTAATTTCTGTGACCCCGTTGAGATTGCTTAACAGTTCAGTGGCCAGAACGGAAAGAGAAAAGGCGGCAGAACCGCTCAGTACTGTACTCCAACCAAATACTACCTCACCTACGACACTGATCCATAATGCCCTCATTCTCTTTGTGAAGATTTTCAGTGCTATATTAAAGCTGGGATATTATTCAAAAACATGAAAAAAGTTAGAGATAATTATGACAGCTAAATCACTTGAAGACGCAACCCTGCCGTCATTTCGAAAAAGTGCTGTCCGTCAGTTCTGTTTTTGGTACAACTCAGAGAATATGTATTGCTGGGCCGTTTTGCTCGATGTGTTCCACAACAGACGATTCGCTGCAAACTGTAAAAGAGGAGTATCCAAACAAGGGACGTGCTCCAAAAGGTAGTATTCTTGGAAAATTATGGTGTTGTACATACTGTTCATGCGGATGATACTGCGATAAACTGTCGATACAAATGCCTCATGACAATCACAAAAGTGTAGTAGCAACACTTGAAACTAATTGAAGAACTGCTAGCAAAATGGCACATGGAGGTTAATGAAAATAAGTGCAAACACATCAATTTTACATTAAAAGCAAAAACTGCCATACTGTCACTCCCAACAATGTTTGTACCTATTAGAGCTCAAGATTTTGCACGAGATCGAGTGATTCAAGCTTTCTCGAGCATTTTTGAGAATTTTAAATAAAAAATTTGAATACTGAAGATATTTTAACAAACCAAATTTAAATTTTGAAATATCTCAAAATATCATTTGAGCAGTTGAATGTCTTATAGACATCCGTTCCCGACAAAAAGATGCAGCTGAAGCTTAAAGATAAAAATTGGGCTGTCTGTACAACAAAGTCCTCTTCTATAATGTGACTAATAAATCGATATATGTATGTACATAGATGTATGAAATAGGTAAACATAATTTTAATACTGGGCGTGGCACTATCTATTTCGAAGTTATGACTATCACTAGGTCACATTCATTCTTATTTTATGACTTTTCTGTGACGCCCCTACACTACTCTTCATTGCTTACTACATAAGCGCCAAAATATTTTATTTTAAATAAATAATACAAAGTAGCATAAATTTGTTAAAAGCGAGCAAATAATTTTTAAAGTATAATTGATTCATTAAAATAAATATTTTCTTCATCTTTAGACAAGTACGTAGCTTTGTTCTAACCTCGTTCCCCAGGTGACACGGCTCTAGTAAAGCTTTTAAACTTTTTCCGTTTAAATTTGATTTATTTCGCGCTCCGATAACATTTCTAAAGTTCCCTGTATTTGTTGCACAACAATTCTAATTTTTTACCGAGGTTACTGAAGATGAGAACGTACGTTATGTGGGGCGTAGCACGTACGAACTTTTGCTTTTATTTCTAATTAATGCAATCATAAAACTTTTTTCCGACAGATGGCGCAACCGACTTCATGGTTGGATCAAAGGGAAATCAACGCTAGATGGCGCTAAGATCACTTTTCATTTGTGTTATACAAACATATGTTCCACACGTAAATAATCAAAAGAACCGATAGGAAAATCTCCATCTCGTTGTACGATTTTCGACTCAGAGAACCTAAATATAAATACAATTTTTTCGTTCCTAATGGATAATTTCTGTAGTAAGAAGAGTAACATATTTAAAATTTGGCTAATTAGTGTGTTAAAAAGAGATGTGGGTTTACACATAATTCAAATATGGCTTTTGAATATTTTCCGTTAATTACTTTTTCATTTGAAGACGCTCTGTCGAGGTAAAAAAATTTACCTAGGTATTAAAATTTACCATTCAGTAAATTTTGTTACCATTTCGTATTCTGTAAATTTTGTTGTAAGTTTGAGAAAAAATAAAAAACGAAAAAGGGTAGGCTCTATATTTTAGGCCTGGAATTCATTAAAGATGAAGAAAAAAGTGTAAAAAGCCGTATTTTAAGAAGTTTTCGAGACTAAAAAATAGCCCTTTAATTTGTAAGATAACGTTTTCATTCAGCTTTTTTTGTTGTCCAGGGATATTTTCCATAATTAGGTTCAAATATTTATGATATAATAAGCAAATTAATAAAACTTTTTAATATTTTTGTGCACCGTCTTCCATTTCGATGTGAATATTTTTCTTTTTACTTTATTAACTGGCAATTGTAATTTGACATGGACGAAAAAAGCAGTACTGCCAAATTCTTTACAAACATTGTAACCAGTTCTGCAGAATACCAAATTCAATTTCGGGTGTTAAAGAAAAGTGACAAAATTTACTTTACTGGTAACAGTGAGAATAAGCCTGTAAGAAGTAAGACCCTTTATTTTACATTTTTTCTAATAAATAATAACATAAATCTTTATTACACATTGACTGAATAATTTTAAAACAGTAACAGAACCCAAAAAACAACAAATGAGGTAAATATGTATGAGTACTTACGAGTATGTATACAATTGTACATTCATTGCGCTTATTATTGCAGTTTTTCCTTTACGTAATATCAAATAGCGTAATTATAATAATATAATTGTTTATTTCAGGTTTCGTCGTCGTTTGCAAAGCAGAATACTCGATAGGGCATCTGAACTGATTGTTCAACAATGAATTTAAGAAACCCTTCAGCAGATAGTCAAAGTGAGCTTTGCAGCAAATATAAATAAGGTATGCTACGGCCAAAGCTGTGTAAACCGAGTTGCAACAATGAGAAACATTTGGTGCTTGTAAAAATAGTAATTGTGCCTTTATGGGCCATACGTACATATGCATATGCATGTGTACCAAATGAAACAATAATGTAAATATGTAAATTTTTCTTAATTATATTTTAAATAAACAAAAATAAACTTAGAAATTGCTACTTTTCGTTTCAAAGGAAATAATAGGTCAATATCCTACGGGTAACAAATTCATTTGCTTTTAATAACAGTTGTATTACCGATACGGTAAGAAAAAATTGAAAAATACATGTGAGTGAGTGAGAAAAAGAATCACACGTAAGTGGAACAAAGCGGGGAAATTTGTTATTTTTTTCCCAACAATTCAAATAAGAAATGCACGTATGTAAAGTAACAGACGGAAAACATGTTAAGCAACAGCTACTCGTCTTGCAGGGATAATGAGAAGGCGCAAGTTTTAATTGAAAATTGTGCGCGGGTTTTAGGACAACAATTCGGAAGAAATCCACTCCATCAGAGATTTATAAGTTTTCTGCTCCATCGCGGAGGAACTGGTAATTTGCAGCCAACACTTTTCAAGGAAATTATTCTCGTCTCGGAGGAATTCAACACATCTCGGAGTAATTCATCACATCTCGAAGGAACTGGTCGACTTCACATCGTAAAAAAAATTAAAAATCACGAAGAAAAGTCAATTTCGGACAAAGCTAAATTGCAGCCACGCGTAAATTGAGTGAACTCAATGCGCAGAATGTATGTATGAATATAGAAAAAAATACCTCCGAGTGTATTTTTGACATAAATATAAATGATAAAGGCTTCTCGAAAAAACTCCATCAGTCGTTCGAATGCGGCTTAATGTAAATTGTAGGTCCCACCATTAGTTGGAAAAACATCAATACGCAAACCCACAAATTGGAGGAGTAGCTCGGCCGAAAATCGCTTCAGCTGTTACAACTGTGCCAATTATATACATACATATATGTATAATAATTAATGCACATAATTTAAAAATAGAAATAGCTAAACAAAAATAGGAAATTTAATAATTAAAAATTTAATTATCTCAAAA